GGCAACGTAACAGCATAAGCAACAGCAGTCGGCTCAGCTCACGAGATTTTTACAGATTTTCCCAAACACTTTTTTAAACCAAATAGCAGCCATGAAGTAAAATGTTAAAAAAGAACCAATCTCAATTTTTATTTCGAAAACCATTGAATTTATGAAAAATAGTTAATAGAACAAAAAACGTCTTAGAATTAATTGATGATCAATCTTAAATTTTTTCAGAATTTTTGGAGCGCGATTTTCCGATTTCCGGAAAATTTGTCGAGACCAATTTCCCAAAATCATATCAATAAATTCTGAAAATAATTCAGGGTGTTCCTTGATCAATTCTAAAAATTTTTTGTACTAGAAACTTTTTCTCTAAACTCAATGGTTTTCTATGAAAAAATTATACATTCTCACCTGTACATGCATTTTCTTGCACTATGATATGCATGAACAGTTTTCTTTATGGTTGCCATTTTGTTAAAAAAAGTGGTTTGAAAATTTTTTGAAAATTCTCTACGGTACTGCTACTCCCATGATCACCTCTGATTATATTTATATCTTGAGTTTTTCACCGCAGCAGTTCAAAAAAATTCTCATAGTTGATTTTTTGCACAAATTATTCCTTTTTTTTTGTTTAAACAACCATAACTTTTTTATAGGCTGTTTTCAGAGACCGTCACTAACCGCTTCGCTCGAACAGCTGATTTGCCTGTAGGCATAACAAACCGAGCTTCCATTCACTGTATATGTTAAGTCGATTAGTTTGACTGCAAATTACAAATAAATGAGATGCTCTAAAAATATATAAAAAATATGTCTATATAGAGGAAGACTTCATCTTTTCATCTATCGAAGCGGATTTTACGATTTCTCTTTAGTTATTACAAAAAAATTGTTGAAATTTCGGTTATTTTGGAGTCTTACTCGCTGCTCGGCTGCTGTCAACACCGAGTTGCGCGTGTCCGTGATCGTTTTAGCGATATTTGAGATTTGATTTCGTTTTTTTTTTATCAATCTGCAATCATAAAATAAAAAATGGTGTTGAGGTGTTATGTAACAGGATGCAAAGCAAATTTCCAAAATGGAAAGTTTTCCTTCTTCTGTATACCAACAGGAAAGCCGAAAAATAATAGAAATTCTGAAGAATTAAGGGAACTGAGTCGAAAAAGGCAATATACTCATGCTTTAATATTTAAATGTATTTTCAAATATCGCTAAAACAATCACGGACACGCGCAAGTCAGTGTTGACAGCAGCTGAGTAGCGAGTTAGACTCTGAAATGACCGAAATTTCAACAATTTTTTTTGCAATAACAAAAGAGAAATCGTAAAATCCGTTTCGATAGATGAAAAGATGAAGTCTTCCTCTACATCGACATATTTTTTATATATTTTTAGAGCATCTCATTTATTTGTAATTTGCAGTCAAACTAATCGATTTAATATATAAAGTATATGGAAACTCGGTTTGTTGTGCCTACAGGCAAATCAGCTGTTCAATCCTGACGGTCAGTAACGCTTTGTGAAAACGCCCTATAGCGCATCAAATCTCAAATTTGAGCACGAATTTTAAAAGGGCATTAAGTTATACATAAATTTATGCATGAGCAAAATCTTTTCAAGGTCCAAAACGTCGGAAGAAATCGCGAAATGTGAACGAAAAATTTCGTAACTTCGGGCATTAATGAGTCAATATACTTTTGATCTAAGTATAAATGATTCATTTTGTAGCTCATTCTTCAAAAATCATCAATAAAAAAGAACACAATAATAATTAATACTTTTGAGTAAGTATTATTGTATGAATATCGGTTCATTTTTAAGTAAAAGTTTCGCAGAGGACGAATGAGTCCCAGGTGCTCCGACAGCGATCGAAGACAACATATTTGTTATCAGCGACGCCAAAACGCCCCAAGTGAGGATTGTTTCCGATCATTTTTAAGCAAAAGTCTCATAGAGGACGTACATGGTCGACGCCCTGAGCCCCAGGTGCTTCGGAGGTGATCGCCGACCTCGTATTCGTAATCAGCGACCCAAAAACCCCCGAGTACGAAAATTGGACTGGTTTATGTAATTTTTTAGCAAGTTGGAAATATTTTATCTTTTTCAATAAATCAATGGATTTATAACAATGCAATTAAGCATTGCGTATAAGCATTTTTCAAATCTTACTGATCGCATACGGTCACAAAGTTTCCACTGGAGTTTTTGAATCGTATGCTTTTTTATCGCGTCTCAATCTGACTTGCGAGCACTGAAAAATATAACCAACTCTCGAGCACTGAAAAATATAAACAACTCGCGAGCACTGAAAAATATATTTCAGCATACGCACCCGTTTGAGGCGTATTTCGTACTGAGCGTGCTCAGTGGATAACCCCGTCGCGTGCAGTCAGGCAGCGACGCGCCACTGTCCTCGCACTGACATCATATGATGTCAGTGCGAGGAGGCTGATGTCAGTACGAGGAGGCCTGATCCAATACGATACGAGTATAGCGCGCCTAGCGGACAGCAGTAATACGATCCGGTGGTAGAGTAGCAACGTGGTGTATAGCCGGTTGCTACGGTAAAACACCTATTACTGGGCCCAAGCCATAACCTTCAATGACCCTATTACTGAACATTTGATTACATGTTAAAATCCAGTAATACGGACAGGCACAGTAATAGGTGCACCTACCCTATCCACAATCGCTCACGTACTCTCAACAGCGCAAACGCCGTTCTACTTAACCTAACATTACTAAAATCGTAACTTCATCAAGTATACACTATGGCGTTTCACAATAATATAAGAGAAAGTGCTTATATTGCCAAAAATCAATATCAGATAAAATTTGATACTGCTCGCCTTCGGCTCGCAAAACCCTTTCAAACCTTCAAATCTAATTATTTATTAATTATTTATTGAGTATCAATTATTCGCGAGGATTTGTGTGTGATTGTATCTTAGCTAAGCAATTGGGTTTGCAGAGCGAGCAAGGGACTATTCATTACATTGTGCATTATTTTATAGCTCCTCAAAACGTGCGCTCATGCAGAAAAATTTTTTAGACATCAATAGCTGTTTCTATTAGCCCTTGATGTGTAAATAACTAAACATCAACCACTGCAACCGAGCAGACGGCATCCAGGCAGCAGCAATGCGCCGCCTAGTAGAAATTCGTGCGAGTCCAAGATCGATTTACCGGTTAACGTAAACTTTGACTGTTGACACACACACCCACGTACGGATTTTTTGCTGTATGATTAGAACACGTGAGAACTTCGGAGTGCGGACACGAAGTTGTGATGGCCCACTGTCGAGTCATTGTCGCACAGATACGCGGTCACTTTTGTACTGTGTCAGGCTAAATTTTAGCCTGTCTCAAGATTTTTTGTATTTCTTGAGCCTTGCAACACCTTTTTCATGACGCAGTATGTTTATTTTCTTTCAGTGAGGTTTTGTGGCCAAACAAGGGATCATGGCACAAGCCAAAGGCGAATCTCAGTTCGTGCAAATTTTAAATAATTAAAAATGCAAATCCAAGTAACCCTAATAACCCAATCGAACCCTCTCGTGTCGTTATTAAATAATTATGCAATCAAACCAAGTAGCCTGAGTAATCCAGCTTATGCCATTTTTAAGAAATCAATGTCGCAAATAAAAGTAACCCCAAGTTACCGAATCAACTCCACATCACGAGCAGTTTGCAAATAATAATATGCAAACTTTTATATCTCAAGTAACTCAGCTCATGCGGTTTCTAAATTATTAAACCTGCAAAGTAATTGGTAATAAATAGTTATTTATTACATAAAATTTTACTGCCCGCCAGTGTCCAAAAAACGCTTAAGGGCTTATATACACATAAATTCAAAAATTTTTTTATTCAATTTTTGAATAGGATTTGTTCTCCCCTTTCCATTGCATTTTTCGAAATTCTAAAATTTTGATTTTGCCCTGAGACACAGCTGTTTCCGTGAGCTTTTTTCGTTTACTTTACGTGTTAAAATTTTTCTTCTTTTGCGTTTTCTGGAGAATAGTGTTTTTGGTCACCTCACGTAACTTTCAAAGGGTACCAATTGAGTTTTTGCACCAGGGTCGCGTATACTTCTTCGGAACATCAATGCTCACGGCCACTACTACGGCTGAGACAACCGAACTCTCAGATTGCTATGCATGAATAGTTAAACAAACATTTTTTTTCATTTTTCGTTTTTGCCAACATTTAAGTCATAAAAGTACGTTTTGAGAATGATCTATGAGCTCAATCGTCTCACCCGTAGTAATGGCCGTGAACATTGATGTTCCGAAGTGTACGCGAACCTGGAGAGTAGTGTTTTTGGTCACCTCACGTAACTTTCAAAGGGTACCGATTGAGTTTTTGCACCAGGGTCGCGTACACTTCTTCGGAACACCAATTTTCACGGCCATTACTACGGGTGAGACGATTGAGCTCATAGATCATTCTCAAAACGTACTTTTATGACTTAAATGGTGGCAAAAACGAAAAATGAAAAAAAATGTGTGTTTAACTATTCATGCATAGCAATCTGAGAGTTCGGTTGTCTCAGCCGTAGTAGTGGCCGTGAGCATTGATGTTCTGAAGAATTGTACGCGACCCTGGTGCAGAAAACTAAATCGGTACCCTCTGAAAGTTACTTGAGGTGACCAAAAACACTACTCGACAGAAAACGCAAAAGGAAAAAAATTTTAACACGTAAAGTATACGAAAAAAGCTCACGGAAACAGCTGTGTCTCAGTGCAAAATTAAAATTTTAGAATTTTGGAAATGCAATGGAAATGGGAGAAAAAATCCTATTCAAAAATTGAATAAAAAAATTTTGAATTTAAGGTGTATATAAACCCTTAATGCGCACTAAAAAGTGTGCGCAAACTGGCACTTTTCGCCTTTTATTACATGAAAATTTGCACTCAGCACACTGCAACCAGAGTTGCCGCTAGTATAATTATTTTTGATTAATGAAAAATAGTCCTTTTGATAACGGTTTTAATGGTTTGTGATTACAGGTTCTTGGTTCAAGTGGTGATCTCAGACAAAACATACTACAGCTTCAATATGACTTATCTACTACTGTAAAAGAAAAAAGTTCATTATATTTTCTCAACTCTTATGATTTTTATAATAACAGGGAATGTGGATCGATTCAAAAATATTATGACTGTGATAACCAAACAAATTACAATCACCATAAACAAGATTTATTTCATTGTTTAAAATGCGCTATCCATACAGCAGATAAAATCTCGCGCATTGATAAACAATTCAATGAGAACATAAAAATGCCAAAATTTCATAATATTACTGTACAACCAACATTAACGCTCGATGAAAATCAACTTTTGTATTCTAAAGCAAATACTAATAGTGTAGAGATTAAAGAGTGGTTAATGTTAGCCACAAATAAGATATTAAACGATGTAGCTGATTCGAAATATTTTTCTAAATATAGATCTGTCGGCAATTCTTTGCAGCAAATTTGTCAATCAGATGATATTTTATCTTCAGAAAACTTCAGTCATGTGGATAATCGTATTTTAGTTGTAGAGTATGCTCCAAGCATTCGTGCAATTTGTAAAGCAGAATTGGATCGAAGTAATCAGAATAAGAGGAGAGGAAACCGATATTACCACTATTTATCATGTTTCAAATTGATTGATAGTAAAACTCGTGCCTTAAAAAAAATATCTTACTGTCAAAATTATTTTAAAAATTAGTTAATCCATGAAATACACCAAAATAAGTGTTATCGTTTGTCGGCTTGTATAAATTAAAAATTCATGAGAAATAAGTATTTTAATTTATGCATCTTGCGTCGACCGTGGCTAAGTGTGATTGAGTATGAATTTAATAAAAAAAAATAAAGAAATTAATGTAGATACTTGATAATCCTAGAGTTTTTTTTATATGTGTTGGATGACATGTACTTAAGTAGGAGAAAGTGTAGCTTTATTTTAATTCCATAGATCTTCATATGTCTTTTGTTACTGAATTCTTTAAATAAATATCTTATTTAATAATATGACATGAAGCAGTTACTAATTATTAGGTTATATCAAAGTTTTTTATGTTTAAAATAGAATAATTTTTTTGAAATTTTAAACGATCTTACATGATTACCAACCAGACAATATTATTTTATGTCAATGTATTGTTTGTATTTAAAGTTTAGAAATTTAGTAAAAATATCTTGTTGCTGTGCTAATATTTTGCCTATGACTGTGCGTGATGACTTCAGAAAAATCGATGTTTTTCATGTTAACAATGGTACAAAAATAAACCCATTGACAAATCGGTAAGGTAGAAGGCATTTATTGAAAAGTGATAATTTCGTCCTTGGCCACTATCCTATTACGTGAGCGAATAATTTTCTATATGAAGAATTCTAAACACATTTTAGATTTTGGATAATTCTTCTATATTTCTCTTGTATATGTTATAGGCAGAACCCGTGCTGTCAGGTAAAAACCACTTTCGCCTCGGCAAAAACAGAAATGTCTATGATTTTTGGACATAACCACAATGCCTTTAGAAGTTTAGGAAATTTCTAAACTCTTTAGGCAATAGCCGCAATGCCTAACACTTTTTAGACAAAAAACCAGCAATGCCCAACCGATTTTAGGTATTTTTGTGTAATCTTCTTTGAGACGTGAGTCGGACATGATATGACTGACATTAATACTAATTAGTACCTAAGTTACCGCTACATGTCACTTATCCGAAATTGCAAAAGAAGCCATCACAGTAAGTAATTGTGTTATAGTACCTATACTCAATGTTAATAAAGTAAGCTCTTCGGGAAAATTATGGGAATTGTTTGGAAAAAAGATGGTTTATGTAAAATAGGAATCAAATAGGGAATTATTAACAAACAATACACGAGTCAAAAATATTATTAATTATTTTATATTTAGTTTTCTTAATTTTTTTTTAAATCTTCTTGTTTCTTAAAGACCGGAATGAGATGTTTTCAATAACTACTCTATAGAAGCAACATGTAAATAGTTGATTTTATTCATATAAATAAATCTAATCAGGTTCTAATCGACTACATCTTACATATAAAAAGTAGCAGCATTGAGTTATCTAAGACATTGCAGTGACCATACGTTTTGAAAAAGAGAGAAATTGAAAAAAACATAAAAAGCATGGCCTTCAAATCAAAATTTCCACCCTAAAAGTTCGGTTAAATTCAAAATCTTTTTGGGGGATGATTACTCTCATCATTGAGCAACTTTTTACGGTTCAGGCTTAAAAACTTTTTTTTTGCTCCACTCTAATTTATGTTACAAGCAAAACCCGATTTTAGGCAAAAGTGCATTTTTCCTAGGCAGAAGCAGAAATGACTATGATTTTAGGACATAACCGAAATGCCGTTCAAATTATAGGAACTTCTTAAACAAATTAGGCAAAACCCGAAATGACTAAAAATTTTTAAGCAAAACAAGTTATGCGTAACCGATTTTAGGCATTTTCGTATAGCCCCTTCGGAGACGTCGGTCGGTCGTGAAATTATCGATATAAACACTACGTAGTATTATTTTATTCATTATATCTTCAGTGCATCTTCTATGTATCTAAAGCAGAGCCTCAGATATCCCAAAAAGCTGAAACTGTGCCTCAGCTGCCCCCAGAAGTTGAAACTGAGCCTTCACAGACTAATGCTCTAAAACCAGTAACTTCTACTTCAAGAATATTGAAATTTTCGGGCTGTTTTAAAGTTCTTATGGGACGGCCGTATTGAATTTACAGAGGGCTCTGATTATCGTTTAATCCCTAATAGGTACCATAACACAATCACCGACCGTTAGGGGCTTTTGTTTACTGTCTGAACGTGTTTTCATTTGCTTAGCCTGATGGTGCAAAGCTTCAGCGGCCCGTTTTTTGGCTTTCAATATTCTTGAAGTAGAAGATACTGGTTTTGGAGCAGTAGTCTGTGAAGGCTCAGTTTCAACTTCTGAGGGCAGCTGAGGCACATTTCCAGCTTTTTGGGATAGCTGAGGCTCTGCTTTAGATACACAGCAGATACACTGAAGATGTAATGAATAAAATACTACATACTTTTATGTCGATAATATCACGACTGACCGACGTCTCCGAGGGGGCTACACGAAAATGCCTAAAATCGGTTAGGCATAACTTGTTTTGCCTAAAAATTTTCAGTCGTTTCGGGTTTTGCCTAATTTGTTTAGAAATTTCCTATAATTTGAACGGCATTTCGGTTATGTCCTAAAATCATAGGCATTTCTGCTTTTGCCTTAAATCGGGGTTTGCCTGTAACAACACTAAGGATTTATTATCAAAATCTGAATCTGTTGAAAATTAAAATCTAGTTAATTTTAATATATACGGCATTCATTTATCATTGTTGAACCTCGTACCAAAATTGTTACAAAAGAATTAAATTTTAGACTTCAAATAAATAGTTTTTTTAACACTGCTTGCGCGTAACATACGGGTTTTCTAACCTTAAAGCGTCAGAAACCCCTAGTTTCTCGCGAGCAGGGTTTAAAAATATTCAAAACTAGTCTGCGAGGAAGTTGACTCCCCCAGGAGTCTTCGCACCCTTGCTACGCTCGGATGAAAACAACTCTTGGATAAATCAACTGCTTCGCGCACTTGTTACAATAAGGATTAAAAAAATTGGTTGGAGTAAAATATTTTTCAAATGCATAAAAATCTGATATTATGCATGTACAATGCTTATAGTTTTTCAAAATTATAGATTAGTCCGGACGCTGGCAGGGTTTTCGTAAAAATTTCGAACTGCATGCTATTTCTATACGTTTCTAGGCATATTTTGATGCAATGAATCGATTTTTCGAAGTTGATTTTCTCTAAACAGGTGGGTTTAAAAGTTATAAACAAGTGCCGTGTACGCATACTTTCACACAATCATGAGTTTAACTTAGAATTTGAATTTCTAAATCAAAATTTAGGAGTCGATTCTTAGAATTAAAAATACTATGATAATGCAATGAAAAAAAGGTTTTTAAAAAGTTTTAAATTAAAATGCTGCCTTAAATCCCAATAATCTATGAATATCTGTGTCAAAATAATATTTTTTAAAATTTTTTGCTCGCACATTTGTACGTACGTATTTGGACGCTGTTTTAAGATGTAATAGACACGGAAAAATAAACCAGAAGCCGGGACTTTCACAATATCCTTCGTACCGTCCACAAGAACGACTCGGTCTCAATTCTGAAACAATTTTTTCGCACTCAAGGATTTGCGAAAAATTGTTAAAATTTAAAAAATGTATTCCTGGTCATAGGATTCGATAACCAACAAAAAAATATTCTGTTCTGTTTTTCATCACAATAAAATTAATGAACTTGAATTTTTCAGATTTTTTCGGGTTCAGTAAAATATTCTTAGAACAACGAAATTAATTGTCTAGGATAATTTCTCATGACAACACGGAGCTTTGAAAAAATGAAACATTTTTTCTCATTTTCTGCACTCAAATACATAAACTCAATTTTTCAGATTTTTTCGGACGAAACGTCGGGTCCGAAAACCGAAAAAACCCAATATTGAACAAAAATGAAGTAGAGTTAATCACGATGAAATTACATCCGAAACTGTTCCTTGTTCCATCCAACTATGGCGCTACTTATGGTGTCTGTTAGGCCTTAAGCCAGTCGTATGTTGGTACTTTGTGTAAAATATTTCATTCATAACCACAAATATATGTAATGAAAATACTCTATCATGATAACACTAAAAAAACAAACAATAATGTCATCGACATGAAACTTGCAGAATAGTAATCTTTAACTACACCAGTATTAGTTTTTCATAAGTTCACAGTGTGTACTCGATATTTATTGGGTTTATTTGTACTTAATGGCTAACGTAACATCAAAAGTGGGTACTACTAATATTTCTGTTTTTTTTTTTCAATATTCATTAATATTTTTCATCAATTTTAAATTCATAAGTTAAATCTGAAAACAATTTTTTCTCAAATTTGAATGACATTTAAATTGTTAAATTTATACTATATCTTAAAAAGGATACAGGTGTCTGTATTCTTTTCAATTGGCATAATAAATTTAAAATTATTGAAAAGTATCATCTGATATGTCACTGAGTAATGATTAAGCTTATATTAACGTAATTAATCATATTATATCTATAATTGTACATTAAATAAAAATGAAAATTGATCAGTACTGCATGAACATCAAAACTTATTTCAAATTGATTCGATCCAAAGCTTGAAGAAAAATCATGGTGATGGAAAAAATAAACAATAGACTAGTTATTATTAATTACTTTGTGAGCTGCTTATCCCAACTTAGATAACTAATTACATATTGCATAAGCAAATCAAATTATTACAATAGTATTAAAGAACAGTTATCTTGAAACTGATAACAAAGTTTATATATATTTATGTAAATATAATAATATATCTACATATTGCTTATGTATTTTTCAAAATATTAAAATTATTAAATTATTGTTATCTTGACTTTAATTGCATCTTCAATTGTAAAAGTAGAAAGTCAATATATTCAAATACTTAATTAAAAACACGATTAATTTTTTATTATAGTCCTATTACTCAAAGTCCACTATTGAAGTAACAAATTGTTTCATTTTATCTTTTCTAACATAATTTATAATTGATGACCAGAACTTCCAAAATATATTTTTCTAATCCATTGACAAATTTAAAGAAAATTAACATAAATTATATGAAAATTTTTAATGATAATTATAAAAGAATTAAATAAAAAGCCAAATCAATCAGAATTGAATAATTGAAAAAGAATTAGTATGATTTTCAAACTTTTTCCTTTATACGATACCTAAATAAATATAAAAATAAGTATTAGGCTATATTTTTATATTCATTTTAAAATTAATTTATATTCCAATTATTTGTGTACCTTTATGAAATTGAGTTTTATACAGAAATTTTTGGTTTATGATGTGAACCCTTGAAAAAATTAATAGGAATAATCCAGGATGTGCCTGAAAATTAAAAGCTTAATATTCAAATTAATTTGTATAAACTTGCTAAACTGAAATTGACATACTTGATTTGAAATCTGTTTTATTGTTAAAACAACTTCATTGACCATTGATGTGTAGGCTTCTATAAATATCATCTTGTTAATTATTAAAATACAAATTATTCCAGGAAGTCTGAGAAAAAGTTTGAATGAACCAAGAGTACCATAATTCTATGATTAAAAACTTTGTAAGATTTGTTTATTTCGTTCGAATGCAGAATACTTTTAACATAGTTAGCAAGGGTGTATCCCAGCAAAATTGAGTTTCTATTAACTATAAACTTTTTGAACTTTTGTAAAATTAGTTGGAAAATTAGATTTTGGACTGATTTATAAGATATAAAAGTTATAACATTTTTTTCTATGTTATTTTCTTTTTCAAGATTAAAAAATGTTATCACTAACTATGCTTAAAATTTTAAGTAATTTTTTGTTGAAAACAAATAACTGATAAAAGTGTATGAAAGGTTTGAAGATTTTATCAAAGCATATAAAGTTTTATAAAAGTTTTCAAATTTTCCTCATCTCTTTTTTTAAAAGACAAAAAAATCATTGATTTTTTGCTATAAATTTAAGCTGGTTTTATATTTCGAAAAAAGTATATCAGTCGTGTTTACCCAGGTGAAAATGGAATGTTATATTTGACTCCAGATCTGATATCAGATCTGATGTAAGTTCTGGTGAATGCACATCAGATCTTATGCCAGATCTTATATCAGAATTTGCATGCGATAATCGACCTCATCAGAACTTGCATCAGATCTCACATCAGATCTAATGTCAGATCTGAAACAACTGTATTGCTCCTAATTGTTTGAACAATAAATTGATTAATAATTAAAATTTAATAATAAATTTACTTGTATTTTAATAATCATATTGTTAACATCTTTAAGAATAATTCCTCTAAGGTTTGGGTTTTTGATAAAGTGAATTTAAATTACTTCGATAACTTTCATTGTTTAAGATTTGTTATTAAATTTTAATTATTAATATACTTATTGTTTAAATAATTAAAGGCGTCACAGTCACTTCAGATCTGACATTAGATCTGATATCAGATCTGATGTAAGTGCTAATATTGATTATCGTATGCAAATTCTGATATAAAATCTGGTATAAGATCTGATCCACGTTCACCAGAACTTATATCAGATCTGACATCAGATCTGGAGTCAGATCTGATATACTATTTTTAACTGGGTATGTTGCATTAATGGTTCTACATACACACTCCGTCGATAACGAATACATGATTACTTTGTATCCACTTTTTTCATTGAATAGGTCACTACTTAACTTGAAATTTTGTGGGAGTGATTATGAAATTTATACGAATAACCTTATGTCGTTAGATTTCAATGAATGTTGATTGAAATCATTTCAACTAAGTGTTTAAGAATACATTACTTTCTAGGTTATGAAAAGGGGATGATTTAAGGGCTCTCTACACATACTCAGTCGATAACAAGTACGTAATTATTTTGTACCCATTTTTTTTATTCTCTGGGCAACCATCGAACTTGAAATTTCGTGGGAGTGATTATGAAACTTATAAAAATGTGCCTGTGGCGCCAGTTTTCAATTAAATGACCAGTACTTTCAAACAAACTTGATTTTCTATTATCCCCCTTTTGTAACCTAAAAAGTAACGTATTCTCAAACAATTAGTTAAAATGATTTCATTAAACATTTTATTGAAAACTGGCGCCACAGGCACATTTTTATAAGTTTCATAATCACTCCCACGATTTTTCAAGTTCACGGAGAGAAAATATACGCGATTGAGGGAGGACATGTATCAAGCAAGAATCGCCGGAACGCTTGCCTGGCTCAATCGCTGGGTGTCCGGCGATGATAGCCGGAGACTCTAGCGTCGCTTTGGTCGCTCGCACGCTGGAACTTGAGTCAACCTATTTTGTGAGATATTCGACTTTTAAGGTTTCCCGGCGATTTTCTCGGGAAAAAATGAAAATTTCGGAAAATTTGACCATACCATTGGAAAGCTAAGACAATTTCCTATCGGAATGGTGGATTTATTTATTTTTTTAAGTGCATTCAGGTACTTTTTCAGTGAGTTATAAATTTAGCGATTAGGCTAAATAATGCCGCGCGGCCGTAGTTCGACTCAAGTCCCAGCGTGGAGTCTCCGGATATCATCGCCGGACAGCCAGCGATTGAGCCAGGCAAGCGTTCCGGCGATTCTTGCTTGATACATGTCCTCCCTCAATCGCGTATATTTTCTCTCTGTGTTCAATAGTTGTCTAGAGAATAAAAAAAATGGGTACAAATAATATCGGTATGTCGGTATTTGTCCCTCTGTATAAAGGAGCCTTAAAGATTAAACGAACTTGTGAAATTCAATCTTAATTACGTGAAAGGCATCGTTCGAGAGATTCAACTATGTAGTTATCTCTGTGTACGCTAGATGGCACAGTTTTCAGAGAGAAAAGTTTGCTCTCTGCCGCTCTGAAGTTTTTCTACATAATACTTCTTGTATGTATAAATCGTATGTATCGTTACTCGTGGCAATGTATAATATTAACACCAATAAATATACTTTCAATCAACTTGCTCTCTGCCCGTACGCTCGTGCCGTGGTGCTTCATACCTTTAGAAGGAAGTTTGAGTTTTCATCAAGTATTGCAGGAAAGAGAAATGCTGTCCGGGTTGGGAAATTTGAAAAGTTTTGGGCGGGTGATTATCTCTCAAACGAGGCATTTCACATAATTAAGATCGAACTTCACAAGTTCGTTTGATCTTTAAATTATGTTTCATGCCTCGTTCGAGAGATTCAACCGTGTAGTTATTCAGAGATTATCAGCAATTTTTTTTTTTTTTTATGTGAAACATCTATATTCGCGTTTGCTATCAGGAGTAAACCCGTAAAAACCGAGCGTCCGTCCGTCCGTCCGAGCGAGCGCAACTTTGGTAGTGTAACTGCCTATACAGCGTCGGTTTGCGCTACCCGCTGTGATTGGCTGCCGCGCCAGCTAGTTAGATTTGCTTTCTGCTGCTGCCCGCTGCCGAGACTCGACGCGCGTATCTCTTACTATCTCGCTCTCGCATGCGCGTATTAGGCCTGCAGATTACCCTCAAAAAGAGCTCTTTTTAACGAAAAAGCGTTACAAAATTTAAAACAGATTCGAACATGATTTTTCTGAAAGGTAACACACCTAGGAGCACTTACTGTAAAAAGTTAGACAAAATTAGATGGGTGGCAGATATAAATAATTGTAAAAAACCGTTGTTTTTTCATAAAACGAATTTTAACGAATTTCAACTTCAACTCGCGATATCTCCGAAAGTAATCAATATTTTTGGATGAAATTTTATGACACCACTCTTTAACTAGTCAACAATGATATAAACTTGGTCCGAAACCTTCGCTATTATTTATAACAAAATGGCGAATTTATTTTAAAAAATTTCGACCAAACATGACTTTTTTTTCAATTGCAAAAGTTGTGTTATAAATTTTTGAAATTGAAATTTTGCATAATACTACGTTAAAGTACAATATGTGAAGATAATTTTGGTAAAGTTTCAAATCATTTCATCAATTAGGTAAAAAGTTGCGTCGTATTGAAACTCCAGTCTTCGCGTGTAATTGTTTATAGTCTAGGCGCGGAGGGGGTTTCGTATATGGATTGGAAGGTCCCACAAGAAACGAAGCGTATTTTTACGTATTTTGACCCGCTGAATCCGAATTTTCAACTCTCGGTCGAGTAATTTGTTATAAACAAATTAATTATTTATACGGCTACAACTTCTAAACTATTGAATTTTTTAATTTTATTGTACGCAAAAAGACAAAAATTTACTTTTTTTATTAGTCTTGAT